TTATGTTGCTCAACGGTTGGGTCATGACGGTTGGCTGTCTCCGCCCATACAATCGACGTTGACTGTGTCTTTAGCAACAGCTCACCGGCGCTAACCATAAACTCATCGCGCTAACCGTTTTTGACACTTGCCAGACCTTCCTCCGCTATTAAAAACCCCTATTTACAGATCCACGATACACTTTGATTGTTGCTGGTACTATTGTGACATGTGTGGTATTAATGCCAGTCATGTGGCACATGTGGATCGTTGCCGGTTCAGGCAATGCAAATTTCTATTTTGCGGCTACGTTGATTTATAATGTTGCACAGGTGTGTGTTACTACTTTGACTCATTTTACGCCAAATATGTCCACCCTTGAAAAAAAGGGGGTGGGAGGGGGCACAACATCTTCGAGAACTCCCTCTGAAATGAGTGCAGGGCATCAACTGCATCTTGTTTTTTGACGCCTCTTATTCATGCAAGACGCTAGGGCTAGACATTAAGACTGCCTTCATACTTTGCGTCAGCGTTTTCAGCGACTGCCCGTCAAAAGCTCATAATTGCATGCGAAGAAAGCTCAAAATGTTGATGTAAGCCGCCGCACGCTGAATCGATATCTATGCTTTCCCAGTCGCTCGAAACATCGACGCATAGTATGAACGCAGCCTAACAGAGGTGTAGGTCATAATAACAACATTTCCAGATATATCTCATGATCGATTTGATGTTCGCCTATTTCCGACGGGAAGCGGATGAGATCTCAGCATCGCTTGTCACCAGCAAGACTAATTTTGTTTTACATTGAGTTGTTTTATCTCTGGATAATAAATCGAAAAAAAGATGATGGAAGTTCTTCATCAGTGCAAATGAGCACAATTTTGCTGTTCAAAACGAAAATTTATTTACATAAGCACTGAAATTACCTCAGCCGAAGTTAATTTTGAGCAAGATGTTGCTGCGTAATGAGAGGTTTTGGTCGATTTCTGAACACCAGTTTTCGGGTAATGACAGCATCGATCAGCATTGATCGTTTATCAGCGTCTACATCTTCTCCAGGTGCAGGCCTGATTACTGCGAACGGCTTTTCTAGCTCGACAAGCTGAAGGAAAGATAACTGATACTAGAGACTAGAACTAGAGCAGAAACACATAATGGTAAAAAGTAGTGAAGGTGGCATGACTTAGCAAATGGCCGACCACAAGTCAAGGATCAAAGGTGAAGGGCAGGGTCAACATTCGGTAGTGGTGTAGTCCCATTCGCTGTGGATGAAGAGGCTTGTAGGGCGGGATCGGTTTGGTGCGGCGTGAAACCGTTTGCTACCAGTAGTTGAGGGGAAATGCAAAAGACTATCATATCGTTCATTTCGGTCGTTTTCCAGTAATTACCCGCTTCAATGGAAGATAACGGGTTTGGCGCCGCGCCCAAATCATCCCGCCTGATGTGGACCTCCATCCACAGCGAACAAGAGTCTATCGAAAGCAAAAGCTTGCCCATTTAATGCGAGCCAATTCGGAAGCCAGGCGAAATACAAACTCGCGTTTGATCCTCCTAGGGTAGTTAGGTGCTAACCAGTCATCCTCCGATTAATAAAAGGTTGGCGTAGCATAGCTGAGGCTCGATCCCTTTCGCCGTTGTCCTATCGACCAACTTATCTCTTAACACTTTATACCTCAGGACCCAGCATTCAAGGCCCTGGGTAACAGTACCACAGCAGGGGAGGTGTGGAAAAAAAACTAATGGGGTGGGGGCTTGCGTCTCGTCTGCCAGCTTTCGCGATTGGTGGAGAGCGGATTGGCGCCGCGTCGGACCCACCCCCTGAAGCGCCCCAGCGAAGAAAATTCGAAAGCGAGGCCCGATCAGGAGCGAGTCCTGTGGAAGGCTACGTGGCAGGGAAAAGCCTCTGGTTTTGGTGCTTTCCATTCGACATG